AACAACTGCAGTCATTCATTTAACAAATATGGCAAGAAAAGTCATAAAATGGGGCAAAACTCATTTAACAAATTTCTCACTTAGCAACAAAAATTTTGGGCTCAATTGTGCTCGGATGTTGAGGACTGCCTGTATCTGAAGAAGAATCCGGAGACTGGTAGGTGCAAAACAGCTGCCTTCCCCCCAAATCTACACCCTTCTCCTTTCATCTTTTCCATGTTATTTCCTATTTCTCCACCATCCTACTGACAAGTCAGATATTGTCCAGGGGTTTTAAATTTAGTCATAAACACCCTTAAAGTCTAGAGCAGTGGTTCTCAACCTTTCTAATGCCGCGACACCATAATACAGTTCCCCATGTTGTGGTGACCTCCAACCACTTATACATCACTGGGTGGCAAGGGCGTGGCCAAAGAAAAGGGGGAAAAAATGGCGGACAGCCTTGTTTGGCGACCCCCGTGAAATGGTCGTTTGACCCCAAATGGGGTCCCGACCCACAGGTTGAGAACCACTGGTCTAGAGAAAGGCAGATGCCCCTGTGGGATGATTAATAAATACGAAAGATGTAAGAACTGAATTAACTTCCTTGCTAAACAATTTCCAGCCAAGTCATGGACTTTGAAATGAAGAAATTAGTCAGTACATATCCTATTAGGCAAAGGAGAGGAAGCTTCATAAGGTGAGGTGTAGAATGAAAGGCAGGCAATGGGCAATGGGCAGAGTTTGGAAACTGATAGTTCTAAATGATAGCTAATTGTTACAGTATAACTTGCAGACTGGTGATCCCTACAATTCCTGACATTGCATTCTTTAGTATACCGGAACAACCTAATTGTAGCCCCCACATTAATAAATTCAAGTCCTGAACTGTGTGGTTTTATATTATGAATGAAAGCAATCAATGATTCAAGAATCCATGCAGTCTTGGGCTTTCCCCCAAATGTAGCCTATAGAACTGTGAGGGATCATACTACATTCTTCCCCTCATTCCAATAGGATCATCTGCTCGGCAGAAAAAGACTTCCTTAACGCCTTGATGTTATTTTATCTCTGCAATAGTTGATGGGGCTTTGTAGATGATCCAGTTAAAGGACTTTCAATTCAGGGTTCCTCAAGTTTATTCCTATTGCCCATTACAGGATCTTACCTTGCATGTCATAATTTGATTATTCACTATTTACTATATTATGTAAACTCAGTCATTGTGGCTTATAAATAAAGCATTATCTAGTGGCATGGTACATGAAGTTGGCCAATCGTAACTTAAAGCAATCTGTGAACCTTATAGGTTAAACGGGAATCTTATAAGTCATTTAAATTAAGATTCTACTTAACACAGAAGATTCAGAATGAGGGACTCCTGATCAGGTCTCTTCTGGTCAAAAGCCCCAGGCCATTGCTCCTCTAGGTAACTGGTGCCATTGTCCATCTGTTCAGGAAGTTCAAACTTCCTATAACTTAAACCTATTCACAAGATAACCTTGTTGAACTCAGTGTATTGTCTTCTTAAGCAATTGAGTATACAATGGCAATAAGTAACATAAAGATGTTAGGATTCATTTGCTATATCACTGTGAAAGCTATTTGATCAACCACTGACCCTAGACAATGTTCAAGGAAACCTTTGGTATGATATTTCTTTTGCAGAAGTTCCAAGGAGATAAAAATAAAAATTGAAATAGTATATTTTAACAAATGCAGTTAATTCAGATGGTTAGCTATCTTGGTGGGGTTTTGATTACCAGTTTATTTCATTCTGAGTTTTATTCCAGTGCACACACACACACCGGTTCAAATATTTTTTAAATTTTGTTAATAGAAACAAAAAAATCTTCCAGAAATGTTGTTCTTGGCCCATCATACAGAGGCTTCATTTATTATATCCTCCATTAGATTCAAACATAGAATTGTTCCAAGCATTACAATACAGCAATACAACAGTACAGAAAACAGTAACTATAGGAAAACACTATGCAAGGGAACAAATGTCAGTTTTTTGCTGTACCTTTAAAAAAAAGTACCATTGAAATAAGAGGCTGACAACAGCTGCATATCATTTCCAACTTGACCTTCTTCTTGGCCTTGGAGGCTTTTTGTGACTGTCTTAAGTTACATTACACAAAGGTTGCACCTGTAACAAATTACACATGATGTCATTTTAAATTTTCCTGCCAGACTATCATGAATATATACTTATGAAATTTTCATTATTTCATTTGTATCTTTGGTTTAACTGAAAACCAACCTGCTCTGGAGTCCTTGGAGAATTTTGCAAGTTTTAGAAAGCTGCAAAGACTTCTTTTGTTCCCCCAGAGGATTTATCAAGGAGTTATCAAAGCTGGACTGTTTTATTGTGTCAGTATATAGTATTGTTTTGTATTTTCCAATATATTGTTTGATTTTATTTCTCTTGTAAGTATATGTCTCCCTCATAAAGTCCTCCACTATACCCAAAGGGCTATCCCATTTTTAAGTCTTATCAGAAATCTGTGAAAATTACCTCACAATATTTATAATGCAAACAAGAGGAGCTGTATCAACAACTGATTTAAAAATAAACTAAAATCAAAGCCATCCTGGAATCTCAAGCTATGTTTAACGGCCTTTAAGAAAGCCATTAAAACTCTCCTGTTCCGGCAGGCCTGGGGCTGATGTCCCGGAGGGGGGGGGGGATATGATCGGACATGCTGTATGATTGTATTATTTTATTGTTTTATTGTTGATGATTGTTTTAATTTTGTACGCCGCCCTGAGTCCTTTGGGATTGGGCAGCATATAAATAAAATAAAATAAAATAAATAAATAAATAAATAAATAAATAAATAAATGTTTAAAAAACACAAAAAAACCCAGCAGCCACATCATCATTGACAGTTCATGATATCAAGTTACATGTTAAATGAATCAACCTACTAAATGATCATTTAAGAAACCTTATCATATTTTTCCAATATTACAAAACCATGAATAAACCCACATGCTTTGCCATGTTATTTCATAATGATATCCATCAGCAAATGTCTGATGAACTTGCAAACCTTCTCCTTGTTCCTTTTGCATTTGGCAAATTATTAAATCCCTAATGCAACTTGAATCTAGCAGGTAGTACAGGGGTGTCAGACTGCCAGCCCACAAGCCGGATGCATCATAGCAAAACTGCGCCCACTCCATTGCCGGCAATGGCAAAAAAGTTACGATACATCATAACGCATCACGTAAGATTGCGAGTTTGACACCCCTGAGGTAGTACCTAGCCAATGCTTGATATAAAACATTGGCATTAGCCAATAATTGTTTATAATGAGTAGCCACAGACAGCCCAAATTTGCTAGAAAACATGAATATCACTCAACACTAATTTCATATGCCCTCCAAGGGAAATGAGACTATATTCCCCGACACAGATATCATGCCCTCTCCCCCCCCAATATCCATCAATGCTCTATTGACTATCATGAGTAATTTAAATGACAGTCCATGTTAAAGCCCCCCTACCTAGTAGCAATTGGCTAACCTTGGCTGATCTTGAAAAACCCAAGTGGTTGTCTGATTGTTATTTGGATAGGAGGCACCAGGAAACTACAAACTGTGAAATCTGAAAAACACTCCAAATGAACTCAGAAAACAACCTGGATATGTCCATGACACCAAGCTGAACTTGAAGATTTACCTTTTAGGACAGTGCAGCCCTTTGGATTCAAACTGGTGCTTTGGGGCATGCAGGGGTGTAAGTATGGCACTTGCCTGCAAATCTTTCACCACGAACTAACCGTACAGCAACAAGAGTAGGCCATAAAATAATCTTAAAGCAATCAGGGGAATGATTGCATAATTTCTCCCACTGTAGAGTTATAAAAATGCCACTGGAAACTCAGAGTGCTGAGTACAACTTACAGTTTTTGCAGCACAATCATATAGAAAACCACCTTAAGCCATTATTCAATACTGGGACCAATGTGGGGCTGACCCTCACTCACAATTCTTTGTAACTCTTCCTTCTAGCCAAATGAGGGCGCAGGAATGCCCTGGGAGAGATGGATAAGGCAAGTTTCCTTTCCATTTTCATCTCTCTTGACAGAGTGTAAAGGAGAGGGTGAAAACAAAAGCATATTTGAAGGATGGGGAGCAAAGGTGATTTCCTGTTAGGCTGCGTCTGGCGGGGAGTTCTGCTACCCTCCTTGGTTGATTTTCACCTTCTGTTTGGTGGGAGGGTGTGCATTGGCTGGTGGCTTCATTTTCTGCCCTGAGACCAGTGGGAAATGAAGGGGGGGGTCCAAGGGTGAGAGAGAGGGGACGGTGGAGAGGGTCTGCTTTCTATTTGTTCCTGAAGATCAAAAGCATCTGGATCCATGTGGGAAGAGCTGCCTTTGGCCGCTAAGTGAAAGTTTTCCCAAAGATGGGGGGGGGGTGGATAGGTGGGGGAAAAACTAGGACAAATTTTAAAAGACAAACGAGAGTAGATTTGGGGGACTTTTAAGGCAAGCTCTATGAGCCACTTCTATTGTTGGGGGGGGGGGGGAAGTAGAAAGGAGAAAGTTGTAAAAAAAAAAAGGGGGGGGGAATACTGAAGTCGAAAGGAAAAGAGCGACGAGTTCCCCCGTTCACTCCCTGAGGAATTTAAGCCTGGTTTCAGAGAGGAGCGGGAGGATTAAGGTGTTTCCTCAGCCAAATTGCCAGTCGAGGGACGAATCTCAGTCTGAAGCGACCTTATTATGGGGACTGTCGCCACGGCTCGTTTTCGGGCAGAACCAGAAAGTTCCCCCCCCCCGAAAAAAAAACCCGGCGCAAAGCGAGCGAAAGAGGCGGCCGCTTTCCAGATGGATAAACAGAAAGGGGCGGGGGGCGTCTGCCCGGGAGAGAAGCGGGAGGCAGCCTCAGGTCAGGTCGCTCTTTTCTCTCTCTCTCTCTCTCTCTCTCTCCTAGGAAAAAGTGGGTGGGTGGGTGGGAGGGGGAGCCGAGGGGGGTGCGGCGCGAGAAGGGAGGTGGGGCTCTCCGGCCGGGAGGTGGGAAAGGAGTGAAAAAGCAGCGGCGCGATCCAGTCACACATCAGCGAAGCCGGGCTTGAAGGACCTGAGCTCGCTGAGCGGCGCGACTGGTCTCCCGTCTCCCTCGGGAAACTTCTTTCCTCGACCTCGCGCCTCTCCCGCACCGGCGCAACTTCTTTTTCCCTCTTGCCTCTCTAGCCTGCTGCTCCGCTCTGCCCGAGCCGGATACTCTCTGAAGGAGGCTGTGCGGAAAAGGTGGGAGAGGCTCCCCGGCCAGTTTTCGGCCCCGCAGCTGCGGCCAGACTATTTGTAGGAGTCGCCCACAGAGGGGTTCCCGAGCAGTCGGGGGCGGTCCACCCTCCTCCGCCGGGAAGAAAGCGGGCTTCGCCAAGGATAGAGATTGTCGCTGGGTTGCGGCCACAGCTCTGAGAAGATGCTGCTGCTGCTGCCGCCTCCGCCCGTTCTGTTGCTTGCCCTGGCCGGGCTGCTGGCTTCCTGGGCGCCGGGGGCGCGGGGCGCGGCGTGCGAGCCGGTGCGCATCCCGCTCTGCAAGTCTCTGCCCTGGAATATGACCAAGATGCCCAACCACCTGCACCACAGCACGCAGGCCAATGCCATCCTGGCCATGGAGCAGTTCGAGGGGCTGCTGGGCATCCACTGCAGCCCGGACCTGCTCTTCTTCCTCTGCGCCATGTACGCGCCCATCTGCACCCTCGACTTCCAGCACGAGCCCATCAAGCCTTGCAAATCCGTCTGCGAGAGGGCCCGGACGGGCTGCGAACCGGTCCTCATCAAGTACGGCCACGCCTGGCCGGACAGCCTGGCCTGCGACGAGCTGCCTGTTTACGACCGAGGGGTCTGCATTTCCCCCGAGGCGATTGTCACTGCCGAAGGATCCGGTGAGTTGCCTTCGGTTTCCTCCCCCAGCCACTATCCTGAAATCCCTGGCCTTGCCCTTCTGACGTTTCTCTTCCACCTCCCTAAGCCTGGCTCGAATTCGAACCATCAGGTGTTTTCTGGATCCTTGGAGACTTCCAAGTTCAGAATCGCACATTTTCCTTAAAATCCCTCCACCACTACCTTGTCTAGAGGCCCCTTGGAGAAATGAAATTGGGTGGAGAATCCAGAATCACTGTGTTAAGAAGAGGAGGAGGAGGGAGTGTGTACCATGAGAAAAGGGGGAAATAAATGTGGATAAATTTGCTCAAGAGTTCCTTCTCCCTAAGAGAACCATTGTCTGTAGAAGTTCTCCTCAACTAAACTATTGTCTCAAATCTGCTGGCCTTTCCAATCTAACCTCACTCATTCACTGTCAGTGGATCCTTGTCTTCTTTCTACAGTTGCCCATCTTTTCCTTATTTGCAAGTAAACCTTACCTATCCTTTCAAATTTCCAGGCCTTATTGTCTATATTTGCCCACAACATAAGCATCAATCTATTATTATGGCAATCACTTGTGTTCCCAAACTTTCCCATCAAACTCTTTGACCTGTGTAAAAGTAGGCCAATCTCTAGTCATTTGTAATCATCTATCCATCCTTGTACCTTTGTGTAGCCACAATGATGCTGATTTACACTGTAAATCTCTAGTTTGGAAATGAACTTAACCATAAGAACTGTGAAACGATTAATCAACTTTTCAAATCCTTATCTATCATGCCTGATATATCTCAACAAAGATTGAGGAATCTGTGGTTTCCAGTTATTACTGCCTGAGGCTAATGAGGGTTGGTCTCCAGCAGCAATTAAAGCAATGAAGTGCCTTTAATTTTTCTTGTTCTAAGTTTATGGGTGTATCTCCATTTCCAGTGTGTAACCATGATAATTTGCTTTACTTTATGTTGGTAAACTACAGTTCCAGCAAACCAGGTCTTCTGACTCCCTTATTGCCTTTCCATTCCACAATTGTAGCTTCTCCAGCCCTAGCCTCCTGAGAAGCTTGCAACCTTCCCTAGTGCCTCATATTCTGTTCCCCATTTAAGTTATTGCAAAATTTTCATAGCAAAAAAATTTTTGCAAGAAAAAAAATCTTAGACTTTGGACTCTGTTCCCAGGCAATACTTTCCTTATGATTAACTAAAAATGCTTGTTAGCTTTTTCTGGTTCTGTTCATTCAAGACATTACAAAAATGTATTTAAGTCTGCATTGGAAGGGAAGGGAAGGGAAGGGAAGAGGAGTTAGTACCAGTTTTAGTGGGGTTATCCTATGTCTAAATCCCCTGGATGATGATGAAATCTAGGACACTTGACAGTTTGTCCACAATTGTAGTGTTTCTTGCCCATGCGTTCAGGTTTCTTTTCTGTGGGATGAATTAAGATAATTGGTCTTATATACAAACTGAACATTTGTTTAGTATTGAAGCAAACGGTATTGTATTCTATGGAAAGAAATCTGCTGCTTAGTGTAAATGGGCATCTGATTACCAGCTGTGACTTTCACTAAGGACCTAGCTTTCCTCTGCTGTGTGGCTATCACTAGAATGGTAAAATTTGTTTCCCCAAAGTTAATTTCTTTGCAAAAAAAAAAAAAAAAAGTTTTGCAACTTTCTGCTTTATTATTAGGATCTTGTATGGTTTTTTTTTCGAATTTATTTTGGTAGTGGTTCTTGAAATGCTAGTGCTGAAGATGCTAGAAAAATGAAACTGCTGGTTTCTGTTTTAAGAACCTCCATCCTTCTGCATCTTCCCTTGCTACTTGCCCTTATTGATCTGAAGAAGTCCCATAGATTTAAATGGGTTCTTGTTTTTCTTTGGATTCTAGTTAAAGCCAGGGAGGCTGCATACTTATGAAGTGGTGGTGGCTGCACAGTGGAATTGGAATAATGGCACACATACCTCTTGACCACTTTGTAAATCAGGTGGCTGCACAACACTTTTTCAGCTACACATGGTATTTCACAGATGTTTTCTTGTTTTTTTAAAAAAATAGGGTTTTCCAACCTTGGCAATTATAAGATGAATGGACTTCTGGGAGTTGAAGTCCATGCGTCTTAAAGTTGCCAAGGTTGGGAAATCCTGCATTAGGATGCAATTCTAGTCCCACCTTGGTCATGAAGCCAGCTGGGTAATCTTGGGCCCCTCACTGTCTCTCAGCCCTAAGAAGAAGGCAAGGGCGAACCACTTCTGAAAACCTTGCCAAGAAGTGTCTCAGATTTGTGTGCCAATTGCCATAAACCTCCATCTTCTCCATTTCCATATCAACATACTGTTATCCTCAGTCACTTTGGAAATTCAGTAGGAATTAGGAAACAGCTGGTGATTTATGCTCAGACGCTATGAGAGTGTTTGAGACTCCAAGAGAAATGTGTATTGGAATCCAAAGGTAGCTTTGTATGACCAATTATTAACTTACCATATAGACTTAGCAAGATGATCAGGAGGATACTTACAGATGTCTACAATAGGCAGAGCCTACCACAATTAAATGAGAGCTTTCAGAAATTCCATTTGGCAAATCTTGGTCAGTGACGATAAAGTAACCTCTTGAGGATTGGCTATTCATTGGTGTAACTCCCCCCCCCCTTACATTTCTCCAGTATGTTTAAATTTTTATCATGGTGATGCATGATAAGTAATCATGAAATCCAGAATACAGAGAGTCCTTGAGGAAGATCTCTTTGGTGAGATACCTCTGCTTACAGTCTCCTGGCTGTGAGCTCACCAGTGATAGTATTGGCAGATGACCCTTAAAATTCCTCTATGTCTTGGGAAAAAAATGGAAGCCTTCAACTACTCAAAACCAAGATTGTTTGTATTAGCTGGCACTGTAGTGTGTTTGCTTTGCTTTGCTTAAGATTTCTGGGATTCAGTTTCTGGTGTATCTGCGATTTCCCAAAAGTTCCAATTAAAGGAAACCCTTTCCATACTGAAAAGGTGGAAAATCTGTAATCTCTCCTAGACAGGTAGTCCTCAATTTACGACCACAATTGAGCCCAAGGTTTATGTTGCTAAGCGAGACCTTTGTCAAGTGAGTTTTGCCTCACTTTGTCACCTTTCTTGACACAGTTTTAAGTGAATCATTGCAGTTGTTAAGTTAGTCACACTTAAGTCGTTAAGTCAGGGGTTCTCAACCTTGGCAACTTTAAGACTTGTGGACTTCAATCCCCAGAATTCCTCAGCTAACAAAGCTGGCTGAGGAATTCTGGGAGTTGAAGTCCACAAGTCTTAAAGTTGCCAAAGTTGAGAACCCCTGCTTTAAGTGAATCTGGTTTACCCATTGACTTTGCTTGTCAGAAAGTCCCACCAAAGGTGATCCCATGATCCTGGGACACTGCAATCATCATAAATGTGAGTCAGTTGCGAACTGTGTGAATTTTGATCACGTGACCCTGGGGCTGCTACAATGGTTGTGTGAAACACAGCCGTAAGTCACATTTTTCAGTGATGTTGTAACTTGGAACGGTCACTGAATGAACTGTTGTAGGCCAAGGACTACCTGTGTTACTGAATTACAAGCTCTTAGCATGAAAAACAAAGTTGTTGTTTAACAATATCTGGGGCTCTAAAGGATCTATGTCTTTAACCTGATGAGGAATTGCTTGAAATCCACCTGAGTTGACAGATGCTCTGGCAAAAGAATGCATGCCATTCAAATAAGACAGCTGAGCATAAAGATATATCTATAAGCAAAGAAAGAGCCAGCTTGGTCTAGTTGTTAAGAGGCTAGATCAGGGGTAGGCAACCTTCACTCTTTTATGACTCGTGGACTTCAACTCCCAGAACTCCTGAGCCAAGGTTGTCTACCCCTGGGTTAGATGAAGAGTGAGGAAACCCAAGTTCTAATCCTGCCTTAGATACAGAAGTTAATTGGTAAAACATGGACCAGTCATTCTTTCTCATCCCAAGAAAGAAAGCAATGGCAAACTTCTTCTGAAAATGTTGCTAAGAAAACTACAGGGACTTATCCATGTAATCGCCAGGGATGCTCAGCTATAAAGCAGGGCTCCCCAACCAGGCCGTGGCCTAATTGCCACTGATCCGTGAGAGCGGCTGGCTGGTGCACGCACACGGCCCCACTCATGCGAGCCTTGTTGTAGGGGCTCATGGCCTCACACGAACCTCGTGGGCGCTTGCAGCCCCACTTGCCCAAGCATTGCTGCGAATGTGCAGGCACTCGTGTGTGTGCATGCACCTGGACATGCGCCTGCCCCTCCCACAAAATCATCCCCTCTTTCCCCTCCCCCTTCCCACTCTGGGCCACCAGCCTCCAGAAAGGTTGGGGAAGAGCAAGATTGAGAAATCCTTGGCATTTTAAATGATGGCTCTATATCACAATTGTGAAACTTATAAACCTTATTTTAATGTTAATTAAAAAAAGATTTTCTAATTCAGGAATGGAGGAAAAGTGCTGGATTTGAAAAGTCACAAGCATTTCCAGGTTCGTACCTTACTCTTGTAAGACTAGAGTGCTCTGAATTAAGATGGAAAAACTGCAGAATGCACAGGATAAATGTCAAAAGTGCTCTAGTGACCACTTTACAGTGACTAAGGAAGTTGTCTGTATTGGCTTGCTGACATTTGGCTTGCTAAGTACTTGCCATACTCCAGGCTTGCTTGTCCATGTCCTCAGTTTCACTATTTGACTGACTTCATGGCTATGCGCAGAAGGTTTGCTTTTCCATTATGCCAGGTTTTGGAATGGGTGGAAATGATTCCAGACATCATCTGGGCACCAGAAAGCTGAGACTTATAAATTTGAAAATCTAGGTCATCTTATGAATGTAAACTAGAGCTAAAAGAAAGGAAGGTATACATCTCAGGATAGGTTTGCTCTCTCGTGCCTTTCTAAAAGTACATTGTACAACCCAGTCAGTGTGTTCCTAACTGTATCTTTTTACCTCCACACCACAGCTAAACTTGCACCTTCTGGCTTCAGCTGAGACAGTTGGGGCAGCCCATT